TATTGTTAGTGTCATGGATTTTAGCCCAGATGCCTGTGCTAAACAAACTCACATAAAATCTAGCTCAGGAAATTAATAAATTAAAAACTGTGAATTTAGTATTGAATGTTATATTAAGAAATGATTTCTGTTAATATAGAGTGATACCAAAGCCCAGAAATGTATATATTGACCTAATATGAATATCAAAAAGAAAAAGGTAGAAAATTGAGCTAGATGTTCTAAGTCAGAGGAATTTAAAGGCATCTGAGAAATTCTTATATTTCTGAGTTGACAGGGTGACCAACAGGAGGGAGAAGATATTGGGATTGAAAAAAATGAACTGCATATAAAAACAAGCTGTTTTATTACCTGACCCAGCAGGCAGACTGAAAACTTATAGATCAGATGTCTGACGTTATCCCTGGTTCATTTCAGCAAACATTTGTTGAACTGTTAATGTGCCAGGTACTTTTCTAAACCCTGGCAGTATAAAGGTGAAAAAGGTGTGGATCCTGTCCTGAGAAGGAAGGGCAAAGGTCTGCTGGCAAAGGGGAGCATGCCACACTGGGAGGACTGAATAGCAGAAGAGGAATTGCTCTGTGGAAGTCCACTGTGTAGCCAACTTAGCGTCTGTTTATTTTGCAAAGGAAAAAATGTCTGTATTTTTGGCTGATTAGCTAGGGGCTATAGATTAGGGACAAGGATTTTTCTTTCTGCTGCTTATACGTGTTTCATTGCATTAATTTATTTGACTTTTCTGATGTGCAGTAGTATTTAATTTATTAAATAGTTACTGACCACCAGGTATAGTATTCTAAACCAGGTTTGAGTGGAGAATACAAAGACTAAGATATAGTCTCACCCTCTTACTGATTCACAGTTATTTAAGTAGACAGATGGAACAGAACTGTAAGGGAATTCATCTATAAGTGCTATAATAGAAGTAAAACCAACATGCTATGAGTGACATTTTTCCTCACTGTAACTTTGAGGGCAGGTCAATGTGACATCTGTTTTACAGATGAGCCATCTGAGAAAATAAACGAGTTACCCCTTAATGAGTTAGTGACAGAACTGAGGCAAACATAGATCTTACAGTTTGTTCTTGGCTTCTTACTTGTTCTTGGCTACTTACTTTGTGTGTGTGTCATTTGAAATGGTTAGTAAAAAAATGGTTAGTAAAAAAATAATGGTAATAATGACAGTTAACATTTATTGAACACTTAGGTGCCAGGCACTATGTTGAGAGTTTTACATAATTATCTCATTTAATCCTTAAAAAATATGAGGTAGTTACTGTTGTTACATATGAGAAAAACAAGGGTCAGGGATAAATTGCTTAAAACCAATAACTATTAAGTGGCAAGCCAAGACTCACTCTCTAGGGATCTGAAAGTTTTGGAGAGAAAGTAGTAGAAAGTCTGTTGGCAATGTAATACACCAGTGTTTCATGGTTTTTTTGTTTGTTTCAT